TTCCCCAGGTTTTTCTAGGAAATATTTTCGTACGTGTCATGCTACTCAACCAATGAAAATAAATCAAATCTAGAATAAAAAAAAATAGATGTTGCTGAAAGAAATTTAATAAAATCATGTTGTCAGCTATTAATATGTATACTTTACTTTATAATTAATGTAACATTATTTACACGATTTTATCTTTTGTCTGTCGAATAATACTCTGCAGCATTTTTTGGTTTTTAACAATTTTTTTTGGTTCTTACTAATCACCAACCTTGACGATAACGTGGCAGTCCTGCTGCTGTGACTTTTAACAATGAATAGTCTAAATCTATATCTGGATTTATCAACAAAAATAATTAACAAATGATCTGTTAAATAAATAATATCGCTACATAACGCTCATTCAGATGATCAGATGGTGCAGCATCATGCTTTACATACGCAACCAAGAGCAATTTCTCGTAACACTACATATCTCAGATGATAAACAAAACGATATTGTCATTCCTCCTCACTGAACAAAGTTGACGAGCACTTATAAAAGAATTAAAGAAAATGGTTACGGCTTTAAATATTATAGAACCATTATATTACGATAAAAAATATTATGCAATAATATTACCGACAGAATTATTATGAAACAAACTATGTCAACCCGTAATATTACTGTAATATTACACAGAGGGATGATATCAAGGACAAAACATGTTCTACTCGATGGGAAATTTCCCGAAAATTGAATTAATACAATGATAACCCAACACCAAATAATAGGACACGATCAAAATAAGGGTCATGAGGATCAGAATAAAGGTCATGAGGGTCAGAATAAAGGTCACGAGGGCCGGAATAAGGGTCACAAGGGTCCCATTAAGGATCATAAGGTTAAGAATAAGGCTTACGTGAGTCAGATTAAGGGTTCCATTGAACTGATTAAGGGGCACAATTTTAAGGATCAAAGTAAGGGTCGTGCGGGTCAAAACCCAATGGTCAGAAACTAAGGGTCACCAATGTCAAAATGAAGGTCACGAGGGTTATAATGAGGGTCAAATTCAGGATCCAAATAAGGGTCAGATTAAGGGCCCAAGTAAGGGTCATGGGGGATCAGAGATTGAGGGTCACAAGGGTCAAAATGAGGGTCACGAGGATTATAATGAGGGTCAGACTGAGGCTCCAAATAAGGGTCGATTAAGGGTCCAAAGAAGGGTCATGGGGGTCAAAATAAAGGTCTATGTCTATATTACATATAAAAATGCAAATCGACTTCTGGTGATGGAAATTTGGTACACGAAATTACGACTCCAAAATTAAGGGTCAAAATAAGGGTGACAAGGGGTATAAGGAGGGTCAGAATGAGGGTCACGAGGGTCAGATTAAGAGGTCACAAGGGTGAAAATAAGGGTTACGAGGATTATGATGAGGATCAGATTGAGGTTTCAAATAAGGGTCAGATTAAGGGTCCAAATAAGGGTCATGGGTGTCAAAATAAAGGTTTCTATGTATATTACATATAAAAATCCAAATCGACGTCTGGTGACGGAAATTTGGTATACGAAATTAAGACTCCAAAATTAAGGGTCAAAATAAGGGCACAAGGGGTAGAAGGAGGGTCAGATTAAGGGGTCACAAGGGTCAGAACATGAGGGTCTTCTGGGGATCATAGGAGGTCATATGGGCGTTGACGAGCGGAGTGAGCAGGGGCATAGACCCCTAGTTACTTGCTATAATGAAAAAGACCGATAATAATTACACCCCGTAACAATTTTGATCATTACATCATTTACCGTAATATTTTGGCGTAATATTTTTTACCGTAAAATTCAAACCAGATACCAAAGAGAATAATGAATGAAGGGTCAGAGGGTGTCACCTCTCCACATACCATTTGAATTTTTTTCTCTTCAAAGAGACTTATAAAGGAGTTAATTTTTTTCATTCCTATCGAAGGTCTTACTATGTAGCTGGGTCATTAGTGACAGCTGTTGTTGATTGCGCTACGCTTTAACTCTGCCATTAGATAATTATTATTTCTTCTGCGTTTAGTTTACGTCATGTATAAGAGAATCAAAAAAACGTCCCGTTACAGACGCACTAGGACTTCACTCCTCGTTCGGCTTGAATAGCGTAAACTCGAAATGTCTTCATTTCAACATATTCTTTCTTATTAGGGTAAAAATATTGAGTTAAATCAGTGAATAACAATGGTAACAATTTTTGGCCGAAACCATGGGTACATTTTTTGAAAATTGTTAGCATATTACAGTTCCAGTGAAATGGCAAAGAATTTCGTCAGTGGTAATTTAAAATTTTACGAAAAAATCAATGGAAATTATAAATTTCAGTCGAATGATGCCATGAACATTCATAGAAATCAGCCTAATTCGGTCATGAATATTCATGTTTTCTCCCCCTACAGCGAGTTCAGTGCTACTCTCCCAAAAATTTTTCTTTAAAATTTTTATCACATTATTTGTTCATTCAAATTTGATGGAATTTCGCTATTGAAAATTTGAAAAAATATGAGAAAATCAATGGAAACTGTAATATTCAGTTCAATTTTGCCATAAAAATTAATAAAAAACAGAAAATTCAAGCCAATTTTATAGTGAATATTCATGTTTTGATTGAAAATTTAAGAAAGCTGAGAAATTCCGGACTTCTTCCGCCCCTCAAAAAATTGGAATTTCATTTAAATTTCAGTGAAGTCTGAAATTTTAGGATTTTTATGCCCCTAAATCGAATTCAATGTCACTCCTCTAAAAATTACACGCCGACTGCACCCTTAAAGATTTTTTCTTTAAAATTTTCATCACATTATAGTTCCATTCAAATATGAAGGAATTTCGCTATTGAAAATTTAAAAAAAATATGAGAAAATCAATGGAAACTGTAACATTCAGTTCAATTTGGCCATAAAAATTAATAGAAAACAAAAAATTGAAGCCAATTTTGTAGTGAATATTCATGTTTTGATTGAAAATTTAAGAAAGCTGAGAAATTCTCGACTTCCTACTCCTCAAAAAATTGAAATTCCATTGAATCTCCAGTGACATCTGAAATTTCCAGATTTTTATCTCCCTAAATCAAATTAAATATCATTCTCCTGAAAATTACAAGTCAACTGTCCATGGAATTTCAATTTTTCCGGCTGTAAAAAAAAATCAATTTACAAACAGATCAATCAGAAAAAATACACAAATGAGCCGAAAAAGGAATGAATACGAGCTAGACTGGCTCACGAGAGATGCATAAAGGTGTACAGCATCAAAGAATTTCAAGTTGTCATCGTATTCTCTAAATTACAGTGAGACAGCGTAGCTCAAGAATTGATCGTTAATAATCTGATGTGAAAGCCGATCGAGCGTTCTTCGCATTGAGAGAGTAAAGAGAAGCCCAAAAAAAGCAATAGACAATAGACGAGTGAAAAACACACGATCGGCTGACCGAATGTGCTGGCTCTTCTCTCAATTCAGCTTTATCTCTCGTTAATATTGTTTTCGTTATGTATGCACAGTAATCGTCGACACTACACATTCGTAGAGGCATCTCACATTAATTGACTAGTTTTTTTTTCCTCGTTAATATTACTTTTATTACTTTATTTCTCATTGTTTTTAGTTTTCAATTATTTGTTTTAGCTCACTACGACATTTATTGAGCGTGTTCTTACAACGTAGATAGGCAACGATCTTTTTTTTTTCTCTCTCTCTCTCTCTTTGAACATTATCTGTTATGCGCATGAATGGATTTGTTGATTTTCACAATAACGCGCGTGCTCACCATTTGTACAAATAAATTTTTCTGGGCTAATTGTTTAAAAGACTCTAGATTGAGCGAAGCAAGATTATCTTAGCAATTTTCGTATTTCATATTAATGTCGTGAATGACGACATGTCAATTGCTTGGCACCCGCGCGGTTATACAAAAATTCACTGTGACTCCATTTAAGCTCGGCAGATTAAACAATTTTCTAAATACGTCAGTCAAAAATTGCGTCACATGTTTTTTGGACTTTTTAGACTCTCTCTCCCCCTCGTCAGTCACAAGCCGTCACATACATGGATTTCCCCTCGTATATCAGTAGCGCAGCGGTACAATGATTTAAGGTGTTTCATGTCAAAAATCAAAATAATGAAAAAAAAATAAAAAATTCACGGAAGAAGGATCTGAGTATGCTGCATCACTGGGAATTTTTCCAAAATTTTCCCAGATCTTGCTTTCGAGAAAAAAATGATGAATTTTCAATATTTTCTATCCACTCCAGCTGTAAGGCCAAGAATATCACACTCTAAATTCGAAAATTAGATGTGATAAGAAATAACTGATTGCGAAACAAATCGATTAATTTATGAAAAAAAATGAAGCTCAAAACATTCATATTATAATGGAAAACTTTATTTGAAAATTTGGATTTTTCGTGATCAGCGATTGAATCAGGGCTCGATAACAATAGAACTTCCTTTCCGTTTCGCCCCCCCCCCTCC